GTGAATTGAGTAAACACAACTTGTATTGTATTCTATTTGGCCAAATTGTGAAGATTGATGTGAAATGGTTATGAAGGTATGGAATTTCTATGCATTTGTATCCTTTCTAACTTGTTATGTCTCACCATTTTTTTAAAGCAAAAGACACTAACACATGTATAAACACAAATGCAAGCATGCAAAATGGCGTGGAAACTAGGCATGACACCAAGTTGCCATGCTTGGCGAGGCTATCAGCATAAACAGGTAAAGCCACTAATTTTATGAAATGATTTGAAAAGCAAGTTAATTTTTTTATGAACACCAAGCATTTGTGAAATACTTAAACATTGGACCACAAGGCAGCAATTATGAACAACAGTTAACTATTGGCTTTTATCTATTTTGTCATTCCATTATATGGCTTCCAATTGAGGTTAGTAGAACCATGTTAGATAGGCTATGTCGCGGACATAGGAATAGCAGATTCTTGCGCTCCATACAGGTTTGGTACTCCGGCTACAGGGCCGGGGTTTGAGTGGATATGATATATAGTGCCATAGCAAAGCCAAGATTACAGTTTCATCCAGTTTCATACAAGGGTTTTTGCTTATCCTTCGGTTTTCACTATATCACCTTATTGGAGCCATAAGATATCTTGACTAACATTGCATGAATCATACAGCTTATACTAAAACAACAAGAAGATCATCAAGGTAAAAATTGAGGTATATGGATATGTGTGCTTACTTCCATATGTGAGTACATGTTTTTTCTACATTATTGGTATGTGGCTTTATGTTTCTTTTATTTCATTGTGTATTTCAACCTGATTTTATTCAAAGTTGCAGAGTTCATACAGCATAAGAAATCAGGTAGTCATGAAATATATGGTATTATATGCTTACAAGTTTATTTATTGAATCTTTACGGAGCCATAACAGTCATGAAGGATGTTATTAATATAACTAGTTATGATGTGACTAAAGTTGGCAATAAGTATAACAGCATAATGATAGGCATAAGTAAGGACAATAACATATTAACTGTTATTGGTATTCTTACTGTTTATTGAATTTCAATTCATACAACACAATGAACAGCAGGGTAAGATCATTGATAGTATTCATAATGTGTGATTTAAGGTCATGTAAAGGAAGTATGAGTTAATTAGAACTAAATATTTATGGTGTGATTAGAAGTTTTCTTGTTTATAAGATGGCATTCATGTTGAAATTTACTTGATTCTTGAGTTCAATGCTTTATGAATTTGTTTTTTAAGTTAGTTGCCATCACACTTTGTTAAGTACGTGGAAATTATGACACCACTGAGTTTTTACTCAGGCGCGTCAATTTTTATCACGCGTAGGTTGAAGTCGTGGTTGCTACCTTGAAGACATTGGAGGAGTACTATCAAAGCCAGAAAGTGCTTAATTTGGTTCATTAAGTAGATTGAGAGTTGTTAATTTATTGAAGTATGGGCCATGTATTTAAGATTTATGGCATGTATAATTATTACAATTTGATAGGCTTATGTGATTGGGGAATATAATTTGAAGCAATGTAATTTATTGTTGGTTGTAGTATTGAGGAAATGCTGACTTAATTTTACTATAGTTGGTATGATTAGGTATGAGACTTGATATAAGATCATGAATTGCAATTAATGCTGGATATTAAATCTATGGGAATTATACAGTTATGGACTTAAATATATAAAGTGTTTGTTTGTTGTTATTTGGGATGATTAGTTGGAGATTATTGAAAGGTTGGAAGTTTAATTGGGAGTGTTTATAATTCATATTTAGCAGACAGATTGATCATCCAAGGATGACAGGGATATAAAGTTGTCAAAACCAGATGTTAGCGTCCTGGGCTCCGGTTCATTGCGGGTAAAGGGTGGACCGGGAAGGGATGTAACACTAGTACCACCAGAGGCAATGGTCCATTCTGGAACTCCCTGGAGGTGGATCCTTGAAAACAGCAGTCCTTCTTCATAGTCTGCCAGTCAAAATGGGCGTTGGACGATGGATTATGGCTCGCATTCTATAATCGAAAACATTTAAGAATGGGTCCGATGGGTTTGGGCCATCACCTGCAGCTTTTTCAAAAAAAAGCCCCAACCAATTGCCGGGGAATTGTCATTCAAAAAAAAGAGAAAAAAAAAGGAAAAAGAAAAGAAAAAAGGGGCTTCGTAAAGTCAATAAAAAACTCACTAAAGGGCAAGGGGGTTTAAAAGGCAAAAGTTTAGCGCATTATAAAATAATTAAAGGAAATTTAAAGAAAAATGAAAAAGAAAATGGGCACTTTACCTGTAGGAAGAAGTTCGGGGACTTTTTTTCCCCATCGGGGGACTAGTATCGTTAGGTACCGAGGCATTTGCTCTAAGCCTAAATGTCACTCTCTG